TGGAGCCCAGTGCCCAGCCCTGCCCGGGAGCTGCAGGGGGTGGGAGCAGAGCACCATGTGCTGCAGCACCCTGTGGCCTCCAGAGGGTCTCCCAGGAGACAGGCCAGGCTCTGGGCTGCTCTCCTCCCAGCCTCGGAGCTAAGCCAGGCTCTGTACCCCCCAGCTGCACCTTTTAGATGCAAGAAACAGAATCATTAAGGTTGGAAGGGACTTAAAGATCATCCAGTTCCAACCCCCCTGCCACGAGCAGGGAACCCACCACTAGACCAGGTTGCAGAAAAAACCTCCTCCAACCTGGCCTTAAAAACCTCCAGGGATGGGGCATCAACAACCTCCCTGGGCAACCCATTCCAGTTCTTCACCACCCTTAGAGTGAAGAGTTTCCTCCTAATATCTCACCTAAATCTCTCCTCTCTCAGTTTAAAACCATCACCCCTTGTCCTATCACCATCTTCTCTGATGAAAAGCCCCTCCCCAGCTTTCCTGGAGCCCCTTTCAAGTACTGGAAGGTGCTCTAAGAAGCAGGCAACGAGTCCCTGCCTGTCCCAGCTTCATCCCCTGCCCACAGAGGTCCCAGGGGAGGGGGCAGCAGGACTGAGCAAGCAGAGAAGGGGCCGGCAGCAGCACCTCCCCAGCAGTGGGTGGGAGATGCAAAGGGGGGAAGAACAGGGCACTGCTCCCGCTTACCTTGTCCAGATCGTAGAGGAAGCCCTGGAGGAGAGAGGAGAGGGATAAGAGGCAGCACAAAGCCAGCTCTCCCCACCCGAGGACACCCAGCACATCATGCACCCACCACCCAGGACAGGCAGCACCCAGCCAGGGCTGGGGAGGCAGGACGTGCAGCCCCACACCAGAGCCCGGGATGGCCCCCGGTGTCCCCACAGAAGCAGGCTCTGCCCCGGGGCACAGATGGACCACGAGCAGCCCCAGCCATGCCCACAACACCCACCACCTGCCCAAAGCACCGTGCCCCGCGAGGCTCTTCCCAGCCCTGCTCACCAGGCGTGAATTCCTCTTGGACTCACGGATCTGGGTGCTGAGCTTCTCCAGTTCCAGCTGGTGCACCTCCAGGTAGGCTCTGGGGGCAACCACACCGCGGGGGTCAGGCTGGGACGCGGTGCCCAGGACTCCCACCACCCACAGCCCACTCCCAACCCAGTGCATCCCCACTCCCCACACCAGCCCCCAGGCAAGGGAGCCCACATGGTGCCTCTGCGTGGGATACGGGACCCCACAGATCTCTGGGACTTCCAGGCACTGCCCCCAGGGGACCTGGCACGTCCCTGCCTGGTGACAGCAAAGGGGTGCCAACCCCAACGCATGGCAAGCTGTCCCTGTGTCCCTCAGGGGCTCCTGGCCTCCAACCACCCGGCCACAAGGAGCCCCAGCACTCACGTCAGGCCCTTCTTGAGAGCTTCATACACCTCGTCCAGGCGGTTGGGCTGAGGCACCTTGGGTGGTGGGGATTTGTGGGACATTGAGAACATCCTACTGACCCTGGAGCCAGTCTTGCGGGACACGGTGGGGGTGAAGGGTGAGAGGTTCCTGGGGATAGAGGCAGGCAAAGCTTGGGTCAGCACACGGCACCAGGGTCCCCCTGGATGTCCCAGACTGCCAGGAACCCTGTCTGGAGACAAGAAGGAGCTCCAGGATGGAAGCCAGGTCTGCCTGGACCTGCTGCCTCTCCCAAGACTCCCCAGCAGCCAGTTGAACCAGTCAGTGGGATGGGAGGGATGGGGCGGGGAGGCTGGGCAGCTGCCTGCACCCCCTGATGGCTTTGGCTGCCCTGAAGCCATGGGAAGGACCAGGAGAAACCCATAAAACTGCTGGTGGAGAAGAGCAGGGAATCAACCCTGTCCCAGCAGGGTCCAAGAGGCTGTGGGGTGGCATCTGCAGAGGGGTGGGGGTCCCAGGCACTGGCTGGGGGGAGCAGAGGCAAAGGGGAGTGTCAGCAGCCAGAGCCAGGCTCCTGGAGTGCCTGTGGGGACATCTCCAGCCCTGGTCACCCTCCAGAGGGGCCATGCTCTGCTGCATGGCCAGCACCCCGGGTTGCCAGGGGCATGGAGGTGCTCCCTGTGGTCTGGGCACGGTGGCAGGGTGACACATGCTGCCACCAGCTTGCTGCCCTGCCACCACAGTCAACCATCCCAGCGGGTGGCAGTGCAGGAGCATCCTGGGGACAAGCAGCCCTGTCACCCCATCCCACAGTGCAGGGACATCCCTGCTGCGCCTGCATCTCTCCAGGTGTCACCAAACCTGCTGTGAGGAGCTGCCTGCTGCCTCCACCTGCCCCTCCAACGCCCTGGGGACCTCCCCCGGGGGACCCAAAGGGATGCAGACCCAACACCACCCTTCCTGCCTTGTGCAACCACGTCACTCCCAGCCCAGGCAGCAACGCCCCACTCAGACCAGCTCTTCCCTTCCTCCTCCTGCTGCTCCGTCACGCCACCCATGCCCAGGAGACACCAGCATTCCCAGCCCTGGGCTGGACCTCCCATCCTGTGCCACTCACCACAGGAGTGGCCAAAAGACTTCCCCAGATCACTGATGGGGGGAAATGAATGTCTTGGCCTCCTCCCAACCCAGAGCGATGGGGAAGTTCTTGATTCCCACCGTTCCTCATTCCTGTCCTCCGGGGTCCCTGGAGGTATCTCCAACAAACTTCTCCCCACCAGCCACTTGGCTGCAGGCATCCAAAATTCCTCCCTCTTCCCTGTCCCCAAGCGAGCCCCTCTGACACCCCCACACCCAGTGACATGCCCCATAGCCTGGGAAATGTCACTTGGACCTGGGGACAAGAGCCGAGCGGGCTGCAGATCTGCTGCCAGGCATGGGGAGGCTCCCACTGGGCTTGTGGCCACCCAGATGAGGTACCCGTGGCCTGGCAAGGCAACTGGGCACTGCTGTCCCCAGCTGGTGGGTGCACTGGGAGGTAAGGAGCCTGAGTGGGCACTGGGAAAAGGGATTCAAAGCTGTGTGGTCTGGCCAGTACCCTGCAGGGACCTTGATAGGATGGAGGGATGGGCCCATGTGAACAGCATGAAGTTCAACAAGGCCAAGTGCAAGATCCTGCACATGGGTGGGGATAACCCTGAGGACAAACACAAGCAAGAATGGATTGAGAGGAGCCTTGAGGAGAAGGACTTGGGGGTGTTGGGTCATGAGAAGCTCAATACGAGCAGCACTGAGTGCTGGAGCCCAGAAACCACACGTGTAATCCCCAACAGTGTAACCAGCAGGGCCAAGGAGGGGATTGTTCCCTCTGCTCTGCTGAGACCACCCTACAGGGCTGGAGCCAGTTCTGGGTCCCCAACATAAGAAGGTCATGGAGCTGTTGGAGAAAGTCCAGAAGAGGCCACAGAGATGATGGGAAGGCTGGAGCAGCTCTGCTCTGGAGCCAGGCTGGGAGAGTTGGGGTGTTCAGCCTGGAGAAGAGAAGGCTCCAGGGAGACCTTAGAGCACCTTCCAGTGCCTGAAGGGGCTCCAGGAAAGCTGGGGAGGGACTTGGGACAAGGGCAGGGAGGGAGAGGACAAGGGGTGATGGATTAAACTGAGAGAGGGGAAATTGAGGTGAGATATTAGGAAGAAATTCTTCACTCTCAGGGTGGTGAAGAACTGGAATGGGTTGCCCAGGGAAGCTGTGGCTGCCCCATCCCTGGCAGTGTTGAAGGGCAGGTTGGATGGGGCTTGGAGCAACCTGGGCTGGTGGGAGGTGTCCCTGCCCATGCAGGGGGTTGGATCTAGATGATCTTTAAGGTCCCTTCCAACCCAAACCACTCTGGGATTCTATCCCTAAAGGCCTCACCCACCTGGGACACCCTATCCTGGCTCAGCAGGGGTGATGAGCTTTGTCTCCCCTCCAACCTGGGTGCTCCCTGCAACATCCCCAGGGTACCACAAAGGTCCCTGAGGGAGATGCCAGGACAGCAGGTTGGGAAGGTGCCTCGGGATGCACAGCAGGTCCAGCCACCACGGCCAAGCCCATCCCTGTCCCCCTCCCTGTCCCTCGTGGCAGGCAGTGCCCACGTCCCACCTGAAGGGCCTGTCGGCCGTCGAGTTCACTCCAGCAAAGGACTGGCTCCTATTGATCTTGGTGACGAGGACCCGGCGCTGCGGGCGCGCAGACAGGGACATCGTCGAGTGTGACCTGGAGGGTCTCCCTGGGGGCACAAGAGAGAGGGGTCACCAGCAGCAGGGCTGCCATCGGGGGTGGGAACAGCACCCACGGACCGGGGGGGGCTTTGGCACCCACGGGCCTTCCCTCCAGCCCAGCCCAGGGACACTCCCAGTGGCACCAGGGACACAGGTCCCACCTTGTCCCCAGCGATGGTGCCAGTGCCCTGGGTGAAGCTGGACAGGTGTGTCCCAGCTTGGCTCCCTGGGCCAAGGGAAGTGCTGATGAGCCACAGGAAGGGGCTAATGCCCAGTGCCTACCCTGCCCCTACGCAGACACAACCACAGCAAACCCTGGGCTGTGCCCCAGCCTGGCCACCTCCTCCTGAAGCCTGCTTGTCCCATGTCCCCCTGTCCCCTGTGCCACCCTGCTGCAGGGGCAGGAAGAGCACAGGGCTGGGACCTGGCTGCCCAGCCTGTCTCTGTCTCCACGCTCCAGCAACAAGGAGGGAAACCCAGGGACAACAAAGCACTTTGGAAAAGCCCCAGCTCTGCCAGGAGCCCCGTGTCGGGGAAGGAAGAGCCATTCCCTGCCAGACCTGGGAAAGTCCACGCAGGCAGCACGTGTCTAGCCCTGCCCTCTGCTCCTGGCAGCACCAGAGATGGTGCCAGGAGCCCCCAGAACCGCTGCCTGTCCCCGGGGGGGCTGGTGCAGTGGCTGCCAGCCAGGACGGAGCAGGTTTCAGAGTCTCAGGCTGCTGACCCAGCTGCCACCCCCATCGCTGCGGCCGCGGGCGAAGCGTCTGGGGCTCTTCCTGGCCCAGCCACCCCCAGCAGTGCCAGCTGGGCACACAGAGGGGCTTCCACTTCATCCCAGCCACCACCCACACCACCTCAGTCCCTCTGTCCCCTCCAGCCC